GGGAGGCTGAGGATCCAACTATAGGGGGATCACACTCCTCAGCCTCCCCGGGAAAGTCTATGCCAGGGTACTGGAGAGGAGAATTCGACCGATAGTCGAACCTCGGATTCAGGAGGAACAATGCGGTTTTCGTCCTGGCCGTGGAACACTGGACCAGCTTTATACCCTCTTCAGGGTGGTGGAGGGTTCATTTGAGTTTGCCCAACCAGTCCACATGTGTTTTGTGGATCTGGAGAGAGCAAGAAGACTGTGTCCCTCGCAGCACCCTGTGGTGTGCAGGAGCTTGGTTCGCATCACCGGCTGCAAGTCAGACTTGTGTGCATGTTGGACTCCGGCAGGGCTGCCCTTTGTCACCGGTTCTGTTCATTATTTTTATGGACAGAATTTCTAGGCGCAGCCAGGGGCCGGAGGGAGTCCAGTTTGGGGACCACAGGATCTCGTCTCTGCTTTTTGCAGACGACGTTGTCCTGTTGGCCCCATCAAACCAGGACCTCCAGCGTGCACTGGTCGATTTACTGGTCAATCTACGTTCCGACTCTCACCTATGGTCATGAACTTTGGGTCATGACCAAAAGGGCAAGATCCCGGATACAGGTGGCTGAAATAAGCTTTCTCCGCAGGGTGGCCGGTAAGAAGCATATCAAGGTTCTGGAGTGGCCTAGCCAGTCTCCAGACCTCAATCCAATAGAACATCTTTGGAGGGAGCTTAAACTCCGCATTGCTCAGCGACAGCCCTGAAACCTGACAGATCTAGAGGAGATCTGTGTGGAGGAGTGGGCCAAAATCCCTGTTGCAGTGTGTGCAAACCTGGTCATAAACTACAGGAAACGTTTGACCTCTGTAATTGCAAACAAAGGTTTCTGTATCAAATATTAACACTGATTTTCTCAGGTGTTCAAATACTTATGTTCAGCAGTGCAAGACAAATTCTTTAAAAATCATACAATGTGATTTCCTGATTTTTTTAAATTTTTATTCTGTCTCTCAGAGTGGGAATGCACCTACAATGTGAATTTCAGACCCCTCCATGATTTCTAAGTGGGAGAACTTGCAAAATCGCAGGGTGTTCAAATACTTCTGTTCCTCACTGTACATATCAAACAAATACATACCCTATAAAAATATATATTATAACTGACATTTTCTATGATGCACTCTAATATGTAAGCTAATAAATACACTGAATAAAAGAAAACTTACTTTGAAATGTTGAAGTAGATCTTGTGCAGTTGCATGTCCCATAAACTGAGATCCAAAGAACCTTGACTGAACACGGTCATTCAACCAATACCGCACATGCAGGTCCAGTTGCTTGCTTTTAGTTGTCTGGTTCAGGGTCTCATCAAACATGATCACAAAAGCACCACACCTGTTGACCTCTGCGATAAGTTCTTTTTTGATATATGGTGCCAGTCCAAACCAAGCTGCATATCTGCTTTTATCCTTTCCACATGTAAATGTCTGCACAAGCCCAGAGTCCGGAAACATAGCTCTGAAAACCTTCTCAATCCTGTCATTTGACCTGAATGAGTGATGGCCTGTTACCGTCCTCAGCACCCAAATTACCTCCGCTCTTAGTGTTGGCGTAGAGCCAACAACTACACGCAGGTCAGATGGTGGCGTTGTAGGCTGAGGATCCTATAAGCTATTATTTCTGTGTAGCTTCTTCCGGTTCTTTCAAACCAGGAACTCTCAATGACACGAAAGAGACTGCTTTAGATTTATAAAAAATAACCGTGCTGGTTTATTCAGAGGATCACAGGTA